ATTTCATTTTTGAACCCCCTTTAATGTATCTTCGACATCATTAGGATAATCACAAGCCTCACTTTCTTTGAGAGCAGTGAACCAACTAATTCTTTAAAACTGATCTTTTCAAAAGAAACTCCATTTTAAACGGCACCCGAATGTAGAGATAATTTGCAGGCGAAAAATCAAAATGGGACGATTTGAATTTCTAAACGCGAGTGTTCCCAAAGTGTTAGGATTCCTTTTTATTTTATTTGTTTGTTTTTCCTTCTTCCCCTCTTCTTTTCTCAAAGAATCAGTATTCTAACTCAGATTACTTTTTCTTCAAATCAGCTGCAAGAGAACGCACAGACTTTGCTGCAAATCAGTGCCCTGACAGTTATAGTTCCCTGAGATAATTGCATACTGGTTTGGAGTTTCCTCTTCCCCTCTGTTTCCTTTTGTTTTGACAACAAGATTCTGGGAAAACAATATGTAAATGATAACTCCACTGTCATGAGGATACTAAATTTTAAAAATAAATAACTGCCTACCCCAAAAGCTTCCAGGAACCTATGGAGTGAGTTCTTTTTCCAAACTGTTCCAAAACCAGATGTGGAAATGTTTAGCTAATTCCCCTCCCCTCTCCTTATGCGAAGAGTCAGATGTGTCTCGAAGGACACCAGAGGCAAAACTTAAGTCTCCTGTCTGCTCCTGAAGGGATTTGGGTCACTCTTTTCAAGGCACTTGCCAGCATCTCAAAACTAATTTGGACTTTGAAGACCTTTGTCTCCTTTCAAAAGAGCCTGTGATTAGAAAGCGCCCTGCATTTTAGGTCACCTTTCAATCTCTGGCTGCCAAGAAATCATCGCTGTTCCTAGAATGAAACATTTCGTAATTTGAGGGGGTGGGCAGGGAAAGCCTCAGGATTTATGAAGAATCAGATTTATTAGGGAGTTCTTGCAAAAAAAATGGGGGGGTTGGAAAACTCAGTTAAAAGAACTAAAGGAAAATGTATATGCATAAACCAGATTCAGAAAAACAGAAAGCTACTGTACTCTGTAGCTGCTAGGAGAGCAAACAGTTTGCATCCAGGTGTTATTAGCAGCTTTGGTTTGGCCAGGCTCTGTAGAGCTCAGTTCAGGACAGGCTGCGTCAATAACTGAGCCCTGCTTGCCTATACCAATGCTTCTAAAGCTCATGGCTTCCGGAAGGTCCCCAGGATAATTAGCAATCAAGTCAAAATTGGTCTTTGCTCTTGCAAACCCTGAAACCTGCTTTCTAACAGCGGCCTTCTGCAAGAAATTGGACAATAGTCCCCAGGTGAGCGCTCCCTTACTTTGCATGTGTTTCTTCTTCTGAGCTCTGCAGATTCCAGGAGCTTTAATGAACAAGGAGTTCGTGCACAGTTCTGAGGATGCAGAGTACAGTCCCAACTATGGCTTAAAATACCAGCAATTTGGCATTACCCCCCAAACGCCAGTGGCCCTCTCTTCTGGCACCCTTTACTCATTTCCAGTCTCCTACCCAAGCCCACTTTCTCCCTCACCTGGTCAAGAGCCCATTCTTCTGCCTCCACATCTCAGCTAGGGGTAGAAAATGCAGCTCATTTGATGAATTCCCACTGTACTGTGGCGGGCTTATGACAACTCCCAGCTCTCTCTCTCTCTCTCTCTCTCTCTCTCTCTCTCTCTCTCTCTCTCTCTCTCTCTGCAGACCACAGGGAATGGAGGCTGTACACTTCTCATGACCTCTACTCAGTGAGCTAAGCATGTGCAAGCTCATGCACAAATCAGTAAATCAGTTCTGCTCACCTCCTAATCTCTCCCATGACTCCCTGATAGCTCAGAGATGCCGTGTGAGACGTGGCTCCCACTGACTTCACTTTCTTTGTTTTCTCTGCGCGCAAAGGCATGGCGTCACACACACAGGCATCTGCATTTATTGCTTGCATCCTGAGGCAGTCTGTTCCTGTCCATTTACCAGAGCAGAGGAAACAGATCCTGTCCTGTGTGAGTAGGGAGATTTGTAGTCAAGGAACCCACAGATACAGTGCTGTTCCCCAACTCCTGCCTTCCCTGCTGATTCAGTGCAATGAATGTCCTGTATGAAGGGCACATGGGGTGGTTAGATGAGTGCCAATGATTGGGTTGGGGACAACTGTCTTGTGTCTGAGGAGAAATCTGGGCTTTCTCTAATTTGATTTGGATTGCCCAGGAGAGGGAAGAGGATATAGGAAAGAGGCTTGAGTGAGGGACAGGAAACAGAAGGTTTAACTGCCTGCCCCAGCACACAGCCTTAAACGTGGGTCTTTCCTAGACTCTGAAAAACAGAAATGGAAGAGATGGAGTGTTTCTTTGGTTTCTTCCAGAAACTACTTAAAGGAAGGGTTTGTTCAGGGCAAATAGGCCCAGACTCTGAGACAATGTTGAGGGAAAAAAAAGGGCAAGAAAGGAGAGATGGAGTGATTGCTCCAACTTCCCAGAGGAATCACAGCAAACAAGCAACATTCTGGAGCAAGCATTTTTTGAAGTCTTCAATCATTTTTTTAACCCCAGACCAGCTGGCATCAGAAGTTACTGGGTTTGGGTTGTTGTTTTCTTTTTTTGTTTTGTTTTTTGTTTTGTATTTTGGAGCAGTAAGAGGGTTGTTGCTGCTGCTTCTGATTTTGCTTTGTGAGAAACAAAAGAGCAGTCCCAAGAGTGACATTTCAGAAGGAACAGAAAAGACAGGAAAGAGACAGGGTAGACCCTCTTAGGCTTCTCCTCACACCCCAACACCCCGGAGAGTGAGAGATAGGGAGAGCGCCAATGCATTTTTCTAGTGGGCTCCTAAGGCCATGGCTTTCATTCCAGTATGGAGCAACTTCATCAATATCAAAGGAATGGAAAGAGCTGCCTTCTGTCAATGAGGACAAAAGGAGGAAAGAAATGGCTGGCTATTCAAAAACATAAAAATAAATTTAAAAAATGGCTGCTGTGGGGGGAGGCTTGAGAGATAGTACAGCGGATGGGACACTTGCATTGCATGAAGTCAACCTGGGTTTGATCCCTGCCATCCCATATAGTTCTCTAAGTACTGCCAGGAGTTATTTATGAGCACAGAACCAGGAGTAATCCTTGAGCACTGCAGGGTGAGCATTAAAAAAAGAAAAGAAATGGCTGGGTGGCATGCCTTATAGCACAAGGCCTCACAATAGGCAATTAATAAAGGTTGGTAAAAGAAGGAATTCATATCTAAATGCCCAGCTCAGTAGGCTGGGCATTAGCTCAGCAGGGGATAAAAGCAGAACCCTGCACTTAGCTTAGTTACACTTACTACACTTACCTACAACTACTTAGCTCAGCAGGGAGAAAAGCAGAACTCTATACTTCTACGTATATATTTCCTTCAAAAACCTAAGCACTTCTCTGAATTCTGTCATTTTCACTCTGAAAATGAAAAGGGAGGATCAAGGGAATAGCTCAAAGTCATGGGCATTGTATTTAGCATGTGGGAGGCTCGGGTTCAATCCCTAGGATCTCATGGTACCCAGAACACTGCTGGGAGCAAGCCCCAGTACCCCAAGCAATGAGCCAGAAGTAACCCCTGCAACAGCACTACCAGGTGTGGCTATAAAACCAAAACACAAAATCAAGAAAATGAACAAAAAAACAGGGTCATGAGGCTGGGGATGTGGCTCAGTGGTAGAGCTCTGGCCTTGCATGCATAACACCCTGAGTTCCTGCACGGCAAAACAACAACAGCAACTAAATACCTTGAGGTTGGGGATATAGCTCCAAGGACTGGCAAGGACTGGCATGTGGATGCCCTGGCTTCAATTCTTGGCACTGAATGGTTCCCTTAACACCACTACAGTGGCCCTGGTAATATGGAGGTCTCTAACATATGGACACCTGAGCACTGTTTTAGAGACCCTCCCCCCTCCAAAAAAAAAAAAAGAAAAAACAAACAATGCCTTTTTGTTGTTTCAATTGAACTAGTTTACAGAATGTCTCAATTGCTGAATCAGGAAGTCTTCTGATCAAAATAATTTGTGAAACATGTTGCTCACTGGAAATAGACAAGAGGGAGGGTTCATAAATGTGGTATATGGAAGGCCCTGAGGTCCTCAAAGAGGGCAATGTTAGAAGCTTTTATTAAACTGCATCTGTCTCCTAATGTAATGTTTGGCCTAAAACCATCTTTTCTCGTGGGGGATTGGAATTACACACAGAAGGATGCCCTCTCTCTGCTAACATAGATTTTCAGTCTATGTGAGATGGAGCAGTGTTTGATACTGAAATAGCATAGTAAAGTTGCTTCAAGAAGTCAGTGGCTTCATCTACACAAATGAGATCCCCAAGAATGACACTGATCATTCAGCTCTGGGCTAGAGTGATGGTGCAGTGGTTCATACACTTGCCTTGCATGCGGCTGGCACTGGTTGAATCCCCAGGACCACATAGGGTCTCCTGAACACCACCAGGAGAGCCTCTGATCATGGAATCAAGAGTAAGCCCTGAGCACTGCTCGGTAAGGCCCCCAAACCAAAAATCTAAACCAGTAAAATAATTCTCTCAGGGCTGAAGAGAGAGTTCACGGAATAAGACACTTGCCTTGCATGCATCTGTCCCAGTTCCAACCCAAAATAAATCCATTTTAGTTCTCTCTTACAATAGTGATTTCCCTTTTTTTCAGTTGATTGAGGTTTCATTGGCAGCTGAAATGTTACATGACGTCTACACTGCGATGATTTAGTATGCACATGTGTTGTGAAAAGATTCCTCCCACCATGTTAATGAACATATCCTCACCTTCCATACTCATTGTTTCATTGTGTTTTTGCTTGTTATCCTAAGAACATTTAAGTTATATTCACAAGGTTTATATTCTTTTTTTCATGCTTTAGGAATGACCTTTTGTTTTCAAAGATCAGCTCGGGTTTGAACTTGTGAAGGGAAATGAAACAATTTGCCTTTTGTGTCTTTGTGTGTTCTAGAAATCCCCACCAGACAGCTTCCTGTGTCCTGTGCCTGGTTACCTGATCAGCAGCAAGGATGAAACTCTTCAAGTGCCTCACGGGGATGGTCATCCTCATGTCTGTGTTTTCCGTCTACTCAGGCCATAGAGCAATGACCGTTGTCTGCTCCATCGACTGGTTGATGGTCACAGTCCACCCATTCTTGCTGAACAGCGATGTGTATGTGTACTTCCACGAGTTATATTTGGGCCGTGGTTGCCCTGTCAACCACATTGAGCCACATATCTATGAGTTCACCTACCGTGTTACTGAATGTGGCATCAGAGCCAAGGCCATTTCTCAGAGCACAGTTCTCTACAACACCGAGTTGTACTATATTTCAAAAGCTACATCATCTAAACACATTATCCCACTGGCATGTGCTGCCTCCCGAAAGTTCTCATGGTTCACTCCACCCTTCCCTGCAGATCTACCCAGGGAGAGAGGGATCACAGTCCAGAATGACGAAACAGCATATGCTGTGTTCTCATTGGCCCAGTTCACTCACAGGCCCCAATGCGATTGTCCACCTTTTGTTCATAATGAACAAGGGCAGACCTCTCAACAAGCAGAGGCTGCAGGGCCAGACCCTACACTGGTGCCTTCCCTTATGAATGTACCTGATCATTGGTGTCTTCTCTCAGATGATCTGCTTGGGCCATGTGATGCCCAATTCTCCTGAATATGTTGTTTTTAAGATTAAATATCCATGGTGTACTGTTACCTGCTATGTAACTGTACTTATAGCTTTCTTTAGGATGCTTTAGCAATGCTTTGAAGTGTTCATTTCATTGAACAAATGTTTATACTTATATCTCATTTAAGAATAGAATAAAATTCTTTGGGCATAATAAAGAACAATTGGGCATTCTTTTTTAATTTTATTAAAGCACCATGATATACAAAGTTACTCATAGTTGAGTTTTAGGCATACTATGTTCTAGCACTGACCCCACCACCACTGTCAACCTCCTATAACCATGGTTCCCAGGTTCCCTCCCAGCCCACCCCCAGCCTGTCATCTTGACAGGCACATCTTTAACTTTGGTGATTATAGTTTGGATATCATGTTTTCAGTGTTATTGACTGTGGTTTGGATATTTAGCTATACTACTGGAGCGATAGCACAGCGGGTAGGGCGTTTGCCTTGCACGCAGCCAACAATGGCCGACCCGAGTTCGATTCCTCCGCCCCTCTCGGAGAGCCAGACACAGTAACAACAAAGTCTCCAATGGAGACGTTACTGGGCCCGCTCGAGCAAATCGATGATCAACGGAAGGGCCTTTACTTTTACTTTACTTACTCCTTTACATAACCAGTGCACACGAATCCCCTTGGCCACTGACTCCCAATACTTCATGTCTGTCTCTTCTCCCCCCCCCCCACTTTATTTCTTTGATTCTCTGTCCCTATTCTCTGGGGCCAAGGGTTATCTAGACATCTCGCCTTTAAAATATTGAAGTCCTTTCTCCAGTTATTCTAAATATAACATGTAAGTAAAATCATTCTGTCTTTGTCATACTTCATTTAGCATGATTATCTTCCAGTTCCATCCATATTGCAGTGAATTATGTGAGTCCATCATTTCTTACAGCTGCACAGTATTCCATTGTGTATATATGCCATATCTTCATGATATATTTATCTGTCATTGGACACCTAGGTATTCTTTTAAATAAGGAATTTACCATGGACGAGGAACTCTCTCATGTGCTTAACAAATGTTCTGGCCTGGTGTCTTCTCTCTAGAATGACTTGCTTTCTTTACAGTTCAAGGAAACTGAATCCCTACCTGTATGTTCCCAGGCACCTTACACTCCCAGAACTACTCAATTAAGTACTTAATTATGCTCTTTCTTAGTTTGATCTACGTCTCTATCTCTCTTCCTTTATGAAAGCCATAATGTGATATCAAAATTTCTATATCCTCAAATATACAACGAATCACTCGAGTCACATCCCACCAACTAGATGGTAGAGCTCTTGAGATCCAGTGTTGGACCTCAGACTTTAATCACAGATTTACAGTACTTTGAAACTAGTTTTGTTTCCTAACTTGTGTGACCAGAAAATGTTCACCCAAGTTTGGCTATTCATTAGCTTTCTCAAAGACTTGTAGGGGAAAGGATAAGTAAATTTATTCAACAAATAGTCATTGAGGGCTGCTAAATTCCAGGCATCATTCTCGGCAGCAAGGACAAGTCAGCAAAAATCTCTATTTCTCCAAACCTCACTCCAAACCAGTGATGATTAGCATGATTAGCACCCAAATAGGTTAAGAGTAATTCAGATAGTGACAAATATTAGAAATAATTTAATGCAAGGTGAGACGTAAGAAATCAAAAAAAGAATCAATATGGTCAGGAGATGCCTCAAAGGACTCATAATTTGAACTAAGTTTGAATGTGATGAAGGAGCCAACCCTGAGATGACCTGGACAGAGATAATTGCAGAAGTAGAGCCACTGATTAAATCTCTCTGCAGCTCTGAGAGAAGCACTTTTACTACATTTGTTTTACAAAACAAGAGGCGTTGTTGCGAGAGTACAGTGGGTAAGGCAAGGGTCTTGCATGAGGCGAACCTGGGTCCAATCCCTGGCACCCATATGCTCTACTACATATGCTCTACTACAAATGTTCTACTAGAAGCTATCTCTGAACACAGAGCTCTGAGCACTGCTGCTGTGCCCCCTCCCCATTAAAAAGAAAACCAAGGCATAAAATGACTAAAAAATTCTGTCCTGGGGACAAAGGTGTGTCTTAAAAGGCTAGCTCATATACCTTGCTTGCCAGAGGCCAAGATTTGAGCTCTAATTTGGCACCATGTGGTTGCCCAAGCACTCCCATGAGCAACAAGCTGGTAGCACCACCAGGTGTGGGAAAACAAAAACAGAAAAGACCAAGGCCACATACCTATGAAAAAGTAGAAAACGTTAGTATAATGTTTGTACATGATAATAATACTATGTACTTTAGTACTGGAATAGATATTAGAACAGAGCCAGAGGGACAGTACAATGATGAAACAACACGCCCTGCGTGCAGCCAACAGCAATTCAAATTCTGAGTGCTTCACAGGGTCGCACAAGTACCACCAGGGCTCACAGCAGGGTATGAAGAAAGAAAAGAAGAGTGGGGCTAGAGCAATACCACAGCGGGTAGGGTGTTTGCCTTGCACGCGGCCAACCCGGATTCGATTCCCAGCATCCCATATGGTCCTCTGAGCAGCGCCAGGAGTAATTCCTGAGTGTAGAGTCAGGAGTAACCCCTGAGCATCGCCGGGTGTGACCCAAAAAGCAAAAAAAAGAGAAAGAAAAGAAAGAAAAAGAAAGAAAGGAAGGAAGGAAGGAAGGAAGGAAGGAAAGAAAGAAAGAAAGAAAGAAAGAAAGAAAGAAAGAAAGAAAGAAAGAAAGAAAGAAAGAAAGAGAGAAAGAAAGAAAAGGAGGGGGAGGGAGGGAGGGAGGGAGGGAGGGAGGGAGGGAGGGAGGGAGGGAGGGAGGGAGGAGAAAGAGAGAGACTGGAGAGAGTACAGCAGGTAGAGTGCTTGCCTTGCACTCTTGAACTGCCAACCCTACCATCCCATATGGTCCCCAGGGCACTGCCAGGAGTGATTCCTGAGTATAGAGCAATGAATAAACCCTGAGCATCACTGGGTGTGACCAAGGAAGGAAGGAAAGTGGAAAAGTGAGTAGGTTCCATTATTGGCTTAGTTAATTTGGGCTGCTGTAATAGTGTAGCATAGAGTAGGCAGCTTGTAAACGACAGAAACTTCTTTCTCCTACTTCAGGGATCTTGAAGTTGGAGATCAGGGTGTTAGCATGGTCAGGATCTGGTGAGAGCCCTTCTCCAGGCTGCAAACTGATGGCTTTTTGTTGTATCCTCACAAAACAGAAAGAAAGAAAGAGAATTGTCTGGGATCCGTTTTATAAGGCTACCAATCGCATTCATCAGGGTAGACCCCTCCTGACCCAAGTTCTTCCTGAAGGTCAACCCTTAATACCATTCCATTGGGAGTTACTATTTCAACAGATGAATTGGGGGAACACAGCCCTTCAATCCATTTCAGTCATGGTAGTTGAAGAGACATAGTTGTTTAATTAAAAATCATCAGCCTAGGGCCAGAGGAATAGTATAGCAGGTAGGGCACTTGCCTTGCATCTGGCAAGCCCAGTTTCCCATCTCCACCATCCCATATGGTCCTGCCAGGAGTGATCCCTGGGCATAGAGTCAAGAATAAATCACGAGCAATGCCGAGTGTGCCCCCCCCCAACAACAAATAAATAAATAAAAATCATCATCACCTAGGGAGAAAATACAGATGTTAAGGCACTTTCCTTGCATGTTCCATGTCCTGGTTTTGTTCCATCTCTGGCACAAAATATGATGGTCCTCTGAGCACCACCGGGGCTCATTCTTGGAATAACAGCCAAGAGTAGGCCCTGAGCACCACCAGATGTGGCCCAACATAGTCCAAGGCACAAAGATAAGGAGTTAGCTAATCGGGAAAGAGAAAACAAGGAAAAAGAGCATTCTTTGGGAGTATAAGCCCTGGACAGGCAGAATCACTCTGGTTAGAGAACAGATGCTAACCTAGGTGAAAGGAGATCAAGGGAGCAGATGGAAAAGGAGTTGAAGTGTAGGAAGAGATGTAAATGATAACTTAGTTGGAACTTCATTCATTTTAGCCCATCAGAAAGAGTTCATGATTAAAAGATAAACTGAGTCATACAGACATATTTATTTAGAGTGTGGAGTGCTCCAGGCCCTAGAGCAGAGAGCACAGGCTTCATGGGTGAGAGGGAGGGGCACGAGACTTGAACTTAGTGCTCATCTGTCTGGATATATGTGAGAAGGAAGCAACTGAATCAAAGATGTGACGTTTTAGAGCCCCAGAAATTCAGAAGGCAGGGATTAAAACCTGGGCTTAAATAAGGAAATTGGAATGCGGATAGAGGATGAGGTGAAAAGGTCAGATAGAATGAATTTGAGATGATAGTGACCTCCGAGTGGACATGTCTAGGAATTCGCTCAAGAAAAGGAGTTTAGTTGAGCTTCCTTGGAAAATAGTATGGAGATTTCTTTTTTTTCTTTTCCATTTTTATAGCTTTGAGGCCACACCCAAAGATGCTCAGAGGTTACACTTGGCTATGCACTTAGGGGTTACTCTTTGCAGTGCTCTAGAGACCATATGGGACACTGGGAATCAAACCTGGGTTGGCTGCGTGCAAGGCAAGTGCATTACCAGCTGTATTATCTCTCTAAGCCCAACAGTGTGGAGATTTCTTAGAGAAATGCAAATCAAAACAAGAATGAGATTTCATTTCACACCAATGAGAATGACATACACCAAAAAGTCTGGAAAACAACTTGTGTTGGTAGGGCTGTGGTGAGAAAGGAACGCTCATTCATTGTTGGTGAGAATGTCATCTGGTTCAACCTCTATGGGTAGCAATATCAGGATCTCTCAGAAAAATAAGAATAGAACTCCCATACAACCCAATGATACCTATTTTTGGCATCTACCCTAAAAACAAAAAACATTAATTAGAAAGTTATATGTATACCTATGTTTATCGAAGTGTTTAGGATGCTATCCAAGATATGAAAACAACTTGAATGAATGGATGAGAT